CACGATGAATGGCTAGAGCATCCGACGCCGTCTCTTCTTTAATATAATCGCACTATACTAGTCACCGGATACTAGAGAGTTGTAGTACGTATTGGACGCGCAGATACGAGATCAAGTGGCTCCCACATGGACCGGACTTCAGAATCTACTTTCCCCTCTTGCCAAGTGACTGCTGGCTGGTAAATCCCAGTCTAAACCGGTTGAAAGCACGGTCACAGCAATTTGCTAGGGTTGTTTAGCGTGGTTTCTCCCTGGACAGTCACGTAGTGAGTACTTCTGCTGGGCCGGCATGGCTCCCTGCTAGTGCACCAAGGCCCAAGGAAGGAGCACGTTCGTACTTTCCTTACTGAAAGAGGCAGCTCAAATGGGCAGGAATTAATTGATTTCCCAAGACAACTCGGGCAGAAGGGACAGACAAGGGCCTCAGGCTGCACACACACACACAAAGCATGCGCTTGGACCCAGCAAGAAAACACACCGGCAGCTCCAATGCACTAAAACCAGAGTTCTCCTGTCTGGTCATCATCAAGATTGGCCCAACAAGTTGAAGATCGTCTGGTTGACGCCCCAGAAGAGATTAAATCCTTACTCTAAGGAAGGTCATGCCATGCCTGGTCTCCGCCTGGTTGCTCTCTCCCCACTTTCCGATCCCCTTCCCCTTCTCCTCCCTCAGGTTCCAGTGCCTACTACTCATGCTAGTTTCAGAGACTCAATTTCTTGTTTCACAGGGATGATTACTTGGCATGGCTGCTACTGTTCACATCTGGATGTTTTGCAGAGTTAGCCTTCTGGCCTGAACGACTCAGTAAAGCGAAGCTTAAACAGGTCCAGTAACTCTGAATGAGCCCTCTGGTCCACAGTTTCTACCCTCGACACGAATACATCACCTCCGATGGCACGTCACGACGGGGGCCTCCGACGGATGAAACCTTCCCCTCCCCTAATGCACTTCTCAGCTAATTCGACGCATTGATAGGCCAGCGTGAGGATCCAACGGCTGATGTGCATCACGGCTTTTCCGTCCCCCCCGAAGACAAAGTGCTTTTGCTGTGGCCCTTGCTAGTTTGTACCCACGTACACTATCTATGCTAGGGTAACATCATAAGTGGGCTCGAGGAAAAACGTCTAGTATCCTGCGTTGGGAAGGTATGCGCGCCGGCTCCACTCAGACGACAATGATATGGTGATGGAACAACGCTGGACGGATCGTGGCTCGGCACTTCTACTGGTGGCCACCGTACTAGCAACACGGAACTCTTTCCCTTGCCCTTACTCGCCCCATTTGCAGCATAGCTTCACCGGAAACAGAATTAACTAGCGGTCCAATCCAGCTGGGTACTTGGTTGACTTCCGGCCTGCGGCCCGGATCATAGCACGTACTCGTATTCTTCTGGTGGCTCTTGCGTTTCTCGTTGCGCTGCCATGACTCTCGACCACTGGAAGAGTAAGAACGGGGATTACGGGAAAAATAACATCAATGTGATGATCTGCAGAATCTAGATCTGCTCCCCTAGCAGCAATCATCGAGTGGAAGCAATCGCATTCTGAGGCCTTTCCGCGTGATCTGATATCCGCCGTGCCCCATTACAGACCCTGTTCGAAAACGTTCTCTGATCGATAAGTTGTGCGTGAGTACTATAGTATAGGTCCAGAAATTATTCAGCGGAAATCCCGAGGGTTACTTGTGGTGGAGCTGTCTGCTATTACAAAGTACTGGCTGATTGGGTCCCTGGGTGACTGGAGATCCCCGACTATGTTCCCCGAACACTAGTGAACCCGCGGCACATGCCATTCGCCATGCCCGGGGCTTCCTGCACACCTTTACCCTCGAAGACTCGTGCGGTCACAATGAGCGCAGGTCCGGACTGGCCAATGGCTGCATATCATTCATGCATACAAGTCCGGATAAAAAGTAATTCACAATAGCAAGGAAGATCACTCTATTCATAGTTTATTGATCAACAAGAGCGTCCCAAATTATCCCAGGATGGAGAAAGAGCATATTATTGCCTACCCTCCGTTTCAAAGAACTGCAAGGATCGTCCTGATGAACCAGGTAGCCCAGAGATTACCTAGTTTGCGCAGCCTATGAGCAGTCCCCATATGGGCCTCATTTCCTAAATCCCAAGTTGTTTGATTGACTAGCCACAGCTCCCCTCCACGGACGGAGCAGTTGGTCCTCCGCATATCCGTTGTCCCAGCCGCCTGAGGCTCCGGGCTCTTCCAGAAAGGTACGATTAATTTCCATAGCCTCTATGATTGGTGGTGGGAGAAGAAAGATCAGGGCCAGATGCCTCATGCCGGGTCCGCATGGAAAGGGGAACCGTCCGTTTTTGGCACACTTTAAGAAGCAAACATACTGTCCACATGGAGGCACCCACATCTTCTCCGGACGCCTGCCTTCTTTGAGAGTGCATTATTACCTTTGGTCCACAGTTCGTGGTGGTTACCTGTTTAATCATGGATATGGTGGATGGGGACAACGTGCGACCGTCGGCACCAGTTCTCAGCAAACCTTACTTTTCTCTGCCACGTTTCCAGCGGCGAATCAAATTCAGGTACCGACCGGCCGACAGTAGGTAAGCTCCTCTTCTCTCTGTCTCTCCTTGAATATTTCAGATTCTTCTTGTTCTCGTCGCAGACAAGGGATGCATGTAAAGAGTGCCGTGAATTAGGGCAAATGTGGGCCGCAGCGATGCGTCGAAGTACGAGGCGATAAAATTGTTAGGGGACCTACGGCTGAGACTAGGGCCGTCAAGAGTCGCCCAGTGCCGGTTAGATTGGTGGCCCCAGCTAGATCTGGGTGGACGGCGACCAGTCACCAGCGGAGGCCACTCAGCCTACTCAGCTGTCAAACCCTCAGTGTCGATCAGGAACATCCGACTGACCCGAATCCAATTTGCCTCCCTGCGAGGCCACGCCGTCGTGGTGGCCATTTCTTACGGCCGACGACAACAACGACGACGCAAATGCGGCCGATCAAATCTCCTTGGCGCAGTTTAGGTTCAATATTCCCCCAGCTCGCCTTGCTGGCTGAGCGACAGCATCATGGATGTCGTCCAGTCGTCCCTGCTATAGTTCACAGCGGGTGCTATAACCCCATTTCCGGTGACAGACGGGGACCCCAGAGCTGGTTCAGAGCTTTTCCGAGTGCGTGGGTGAACGAACGTCTCGGCAAATGTTTCCCAGATCGGGTGGTGTCATTGGATAGGGGCAGTTTCAGATTAGCCGAGGAGCATTCTGGCGGCTTCAAGTGGATCCCAGCTGGGGCTGGCGGAGTCGCCCGTGGCAATGGGACGGCGTTAGTGGTTGCTGGCCCTTCAAAGAAGGTTTGACCGCATCCACTGCAATTGCCATGACTCTTGAGGTGGAGGAGCAAGAATGCAATGTTATGAACACTAATACTTTACGAGTCCGTATAAGCCTAGGTTAGCTACAATGCCGTGGTTATCGGCGTCTTCAAGAGTCAAAATACCACAGAACATTCGGGATTTGCGCAGGGATCTCCCTAGCAGCATCCGCAGGCACCGTATTCATGGATTGAACGATCAAGGCAAGTATGGCCACCCTGACTCGGAGATCGTTCACTCGGGTTTTTACAGTGTGAAGGATAGGTTTCTCGGAGCCGGGCGGATCCACCCACCCACGGCTCCGGATGCACCCAGACTGCTGGCCTGATTCATGACGCTGTTACAGCCTCCGAGCAGAATGTCGGGACTAGCTTCTACTTTATTTGAGACAATGCCCTAGGCATTGTGATTGAGCGGACACCCACGGAACCATGGCTTGTACTGTCGTCGGGGAGAAGCCGTGGCTGAGAATGACGCCGTCCCCGCTTGGCGGGGAGGAAACTATTCCCTTGTCTTGTGCTCAAGCCTCTTGGCAGGAGGATGAACTTCTGCTGGTCGTAATCTGATCCGTGGATGGGTCTGGATAAGAGTGATAGTTAGAGTGACGACTGGGTGACAATGTGGCGGAAAAATAGAGTGATGTGATCTCATGGGAGAGAAGGAGGGAGGCAATCAGCTAGCCACCACCGGCCGGAGTGTACAGTTGTATACTACGTACGGGCTGTAGTATCCATCTTGTCGGCACCTTCCGAAACCTCCTCCGTGATGGGGATCATGAGCCTGGGCAGGGGGAGAGAACGGATTTTCCCAACAGACGTGGATAAATCATCGATAGGTCGTGCGTGAGAGGACGATCATCGAGATCCAACGCGGCCCACTGGAGCAATTAGCAGTAGTAGTATCCATCTAGTAGTAGGACTAGCAAGCAGCAAAAAGGTTCAGGTTGATACTCCAACCGCCAGGCCACTAGGGGAGGCTTGACTCCAAACTAGGGCGGGCTTAATTAATGCCGGACAGACGAATGGGATAGAATTAAGGTGAGAACCACCATGTTCTAGCGCTGGCGGGTCATCCAGATAATAGAGGAGCAACGAGACTAAGGGGAAGGATGGGAAGTTAAAGTTGTGGTGCCCTTGATTGATTGCTTGGATTGCTTTTGGATGCATTGCCTCTTCCGGTCAGCCCCATCCCCAATCCTCTCTCTCTCTTTCTCTCTTTCTCTTTCTCTTCCCATTTCGCTTTCTTCTTTCTTCCACTATTTGACTTCTTCTATCCTCTTTTTCCATTTTTCTCTCTTCTGATTTATTTCCTATTGTTCTACTGCGTTGTTGGTGGCTTCCACCCTCTAACTCTTACTCTTACCTTTGCCCTCCCCTCCCTTCCGCGTTCCTTCTCTTTGTTTCCTGCAATCACCCGGACACCGAACTGTTTGCTACCAACTTTCTCATCTCCATCAGCGTTCCTCTGACTCAACATCCTCCCTCCTGTCATTTCTCTCCTCCCATCACCTCCCTTTCAGTGCGTGCTGGCTATGCGGATCGGGCCTCTCCGCCATCGGTGCCCATCTATCCGGTGCTGAACGACTTGACTGCAGTCGATGCCGGCCATCTCGACCCTCTACCGCTTGGGTTCTTCGATGCGAATCACACCATGGCACCTCCATACTCCAGTTCCCAGGCCGCCTTGACCGGTTATACTCCCTCCTTCCTGTCGCTGCAGGACCAGAACCCTCCACTCTCCGCCTACTCCATCCTAGGGACCGGACAATACCCCGATAGTGTCGCATATTGGCACAATCCATCCGCGCAACCCCAGCCGCCGCTACCTCCCGCCGCCGTCGCCGCCTCCTATCCGTCCGTGCCCCCCAAGGCTCAGTCGCTCCTTCAACCCACTTCTGATCAGAAGAAGCATAAGCGCACTCGCAGTGGCTGTTTCACCTGTCGATCCCGTCGCATCAAGTGCGACGAAGCACGTCCCGTCTGCGACAGATGTCGGAAGGGTAACCGCGACTGCGTCTATCCGTCAGCCACAGGTGCATCCAAGTCAGGAACCCGTAGTGTGTCCAAGCCCAGAGGATCACTGTTGCGTGGGAGTGAGACTTCCGGTCACCCGGGATCCGAGGACTTCCGCGTCTTGGAGCCCATCGCCGACGAGGATGAAGATGGAACTAGTGTCGGGTCAAGTACCCGACTGTCCCCAACAGCCGCACCCACATGGTCCAAACCCAACCTCCCCAGGAGACAAAGTGGTCAGTCTTTGAAGCAGCAGGGTGGAAAGCATGCTGTTGCGACCGACTCGGGTGGTGCACGAATCGAGCATAGTAATTCGCCGTCCCCGTCCTCGGATACGTCATCAAGATACGACTCGCTAAGCGCTCGGTCGGCCAGCGTCGGTGTCACCCTGCCCGAACCATACGGATCCACTCTGCCCAGTATAGCACATCTGCCCGACGACCTGCGATTTTATCTCAACTACCACCAAGAGTTCATCACGTACCGTCATTATTTCTTAAAGCCGGTCAATGACCGGTTCGTTCATCAGAGTATCATTGAGCTGGCGTTGCAGTATGATCCCCTGCTGTATGCCGTGGTGGGGTTTTCTGCATATCACCACTGTGTTCAAAATAACAGTGGGAAGCTTTACACCTTTTTGAAATATTACAACTTCGCGTTGAAGCTCCTGCGCAAGTCCCTAGGCTCAGGTGAGCCGCATAATGAGGCGACCCTGATCACGGTGCTTGTTCTCACCACTTTCGAGGTAAGATATACAGCCTGTTTTTGTGCTTTTCAGAACCATACTGACTCGCCAGGAATCCGTTGGGGACTGGGTCAACCTTATTGGCCACCATCAGGCTGCCCATGCTTTGGTGCGGGAGATTCTAACGCCAGAGTCTGCCAATTTGAACGAGCTTCACAGCAACATCTTCGTCTGGTACGCCCGGTTCGACGTGGTAGCAGGGATCTTGGCCGGAAATGAGACGATACTAAGTCGTGACTGGTATATTGCGAAAGAGGAGTATGATGCTCAGGAGGCCGCCCGCAATCCAAACGATGCCATGAAGCAATTGGCGTTGGCAAATTCGATCAACCGCCGGTTTGGCTTGGAAATGGCGTCGCTGTATGCGAAGTTGTCGCGTGGACTGATTCCTGTGAATGAGTTTATCGTCCAGAACGAACTGTTGGGACAGACCTTGGAAAGGGTACGGACCATCCTGGAATCGTTCAACGACTCTGAATACACCGTGCAGGAGTACCCCAATCGCGTCCCCTTGACCTCAGACGATGTCGTGGATCCGTATGTTCCTGGGGGGATGCACCACGGGCCCTTGTGGGAAGTCAACATGACGTGGGTTGACTACTACTCCACCAAGGCTATGTACAAGTATCAGTCACTTCTTTCGGTGAAGCAATCATCGGTGGAAGAACTGCAATCCCTTTCGGTAGAGCTGGTCCGGCTGATGGAGGCGGTTGATCGATGGCCGATGAAGGAAAGCGGATGCATCTTGGCGTTCAAGAACAGCATCGGGATGGCAGCCATGTTCTGTCCTCGCGACGAACGGTACATAATGTGGGCGCGGAGGAAGTTCGCTCAGCTGGAGCAAAGCGGGTAAGTATTGCCAATTGGGACGACACTAGATATCAGCTAACCGTGTTGGATTAGATACGTCGTTGCAGCCACATTCCGGGCGGCACTGGCAGCCTCGTGGCAAAAACCCGAAGTCAATCGCTGGTGGTTGCCAGACGATGAAGGATACCCGAGCATCATCCGGGAAGTGCGAGCGATGACGGAAGAACGCACGAGCCACCCTCAAGATAACTTCCGCGAGGATGTCAGCCATATGAAGACGCTGTTTTGGAACATCAGCCTGGACGACACCTCCAGTGAGGGGAGTCCCGCATCGGTGAACACGGAAGGTCGATCATGACAGCCTGCTGTACCACTGCAGCTGGTTGCACAACAGACGCAGCATGTTTCACTGTGCATAACGAACGAGTACATACAAACACCCAAGCACAGCATGGAGTTCTACAGTAACGAATCCAACGATGGTCCTTACCCTCCTCCACCCGGTCACGCATGGTCACCGCTACGCCTTAATGAATAATCACTGGTTGTCTGATGACCCAACCCACATTCGTTTGCTCTCGCAAGGTGACATGCATGACTGGAACGAAATGATACCCGGATACCACACGAGGATTGGCCTGGAGCAAGAGATTGGATAGGATATCTGTCTACTTATTTACATACCTACATACATACATACCCATTGGATCATATACATGCGCTAGATACCCAATATACGGTCTACACATCATACAGAACAATAAAAACACTCTATACATATCCACCCTAAGAACCAGAACCAGCCTGACCTCTAGATAATCCAACTCTCCCCGGCACCTCCACAGCAGGCACCACCGTCTCCAATCCCCCCCTCAACTCCCCAATAGTATCCGCAACCCCCATCTCCTCCCCCCACGGCAACGCATCCACATCCACCTCCCACCCCAACAAACACCTCAACACCACCCCAGCCCCAGCCTTACTCATCACCTCATTCATCTCCTTACACCTCTCATCACAACAACACTCCAAACACCCCTGCGGCATCACACACCCACACGCCTCAATCCGCCTCACAGCCCGTTCCAACAGCACATCCACAAACTCAAACGCCTTCGCCGCAATCCCCGACCCACACGCTCCCCCCTTCGCATCATAAAACGTCAATCTCGCCGGCCTCTGTCTCGCAGGCGGATGCAGAATCTTCTGCAACTTCTGCTTATCCATCCCCCCGGACCCTTTTGCATCCTGTACAGCCATCTGTAACTTCCTCCCCAACTCCTTCTTCGCAACCTTACATTCTGTCCGCACGTCCCCGGGAGAAGAGACCACGAAGGTAGGTAATAGTGACAGGATCGCGTGCTCGGCTGCGTGTATCGCCGCTGCGATGTTGAGGTTTCTTGATGAGAGGATTTCCAGAGCTAGCGGGGGGATGTCGATCCACATTCCTTTCGTGTGGATGTCGATCGGGGGGTTGTTGTCCACGGGTACGGCGTCGAGGATGCGTCCTCGTTTGTCGATTTTGAAGAATCCGTAGACTACGGCGTGGATGAGGATAGAGCCGAAGTAGGCTTTACTTACTGTTGCTGTTGTATTTGTGTTGGTGTTGTTGTTATTAGGTTGTGGAGTGGGGGTTGATTCTGAGGAAGAGTGTGAGGGTGTAGGTGTAGAGAGAAGACGAATATTCTCCGTCTCGATGGGGTCAATGTCGGTGTAATCGCGTTGCTGGGTCGTATAATCCACATGAACGCGCGAAACACGGGCGAAGTACATCGATGTGTTTAGTTCGTGCACGAGATACGTCTGCCCCTGGTGGAGGAAGATACCGCCCTCGTAGATGGTGAAGAAGGCGCGGGAGGCTTCGACTTCTTCGAGGACGGCGTTGCGGGCGTTCGTCGTGTCTATGACGGCGAAGTGCTGGTCCTCGGTATCGCGGATAGCGATGGAGCGGGACGGGTTGGGAAGGAAGCGCGGGTGGGTGTGGTAGAGGGAGGGGATGTATTTATCTTGGAGGAGGCGGGATTCGAGGAGGGTGTGGAGTTGAGGACCGAAGTATACTTCGTCGATAGCAGGGGAGAGGGGTTTTTCGTAAGCTGCGCATTGGAGATGCGCTTCGAGGATAAGGTCGTTCGACAGGTCGATTTGCAGCTCTGTGTTTGGTTTCGTGAACAGTTCGTCGGGATTGCGCATGTAATGCTGGTCTGTGGCGTAGCGGTCTCCGACTAGGATGGAGAGCGAGTCCTTGTTCCGGCGGCCGGCGCGGCCGCTTTGTTGGCGGAGGTTGGAGATGGAGTAGGGGAATCCTAGGGTGATGACTGCGTCGAGGGAGCCGATGTCGACGCCTAGTTCGAGGGCATTGGTGGCTACGATGCCGAGGAGACGGCCTTCAAACATGTCCTTTTCGATATTGCGCCGGTCTTGCGGGCTGTAGCCGCCGCGGTAGCCCATGACCATGTTGGCGATTTCGGGACGGTCGAGGGCGGCGAGTTCGGTGCGCACGGCTTGGAGGAGGACTTCGCAGAGCTTGCGGATGCGGCAGAAGGCGATGACGCGGGCGCCGCGGAGGATGAGTTGGGAGAAGAGACGGGCTGTTTCGGAGACGCTGTCGGCGCGGCCGGAGGAGGGGTCGTTGGGGTCTTTGTAGGGGGTGTTCCAGCAGAGGAATTCCTTGCGGCCGGAGGGGGAGCCGTCGGAGTCGATGAGGTGGATGGATTGGGGGTCGACGCCGAAGATGGCGTGCATGTGTTGGGAAGGGTTAGCGACGGTGGCGGAGCAGGAGATGAATTGGACGGAGTGGTTGCCGACGGCGGCGCAGATGCGGCGGAGACGACGCATGATGAAGGCGACGTGGGTGCCGAAGAGGCCGTTGTAGACGTGGAGTTCGTCGACGACGACGAATTTGAGGTTCTGGAGGAAGGTCCGCCAGGCGGCTTCTTGGGGAAGGATGGTGATGTGGAGCATGTCCGGGTTGGTGAAGATGATGCGGGCTTCGTCGCGGATGAGGTTGCGGTTGGACATGGGGGTGTCGCCGTCGAAGGTCTCGACGAGGGTGCCTTGGAGGCCGTCTATGAATTGGAGGAGCTCTTGCATGCTGCGGCGTTGGTCTTGGGCTAGGGCTTTGGTCGGGAAGATGTATAGGCCGCGGGCGGAGGGGTTGTGTTCGAGTTCGTGTAGCATGGGGACTTGGTAGATGAGGGATTTGCCGGAGCTGGTGGAGGTGGATACGATGACGTGGTGGCCGGCGTGAAGGTGATTGATAGCTTCGGCTTGGTGGGAGTAGAATTGAGTGATGTTCTTGGTGTTGTATAGGGCGTTGACGAGGTTCTGGGAGAGTGGGAAGGTGAGGTCGCCGTAGATGGCGGGCTGGGGGTCGAAGACTCGGTGGCCTTCGGGGACGATTTGTGCTGTGTACCAGTCCATTTGGCGGATCTCTTCCACGATCTCTGACATGGATTTGCGTTCTTTGGGGATTTGCGGTGGGAGGGTGGAGGGTGCAGTGATGGGGGTATCGTCCTCCGGCGGTTGAGGAATCCAGGCGTGCTTTTCCGTCTCCAGTTTCTCGACTGGGTCGACGGCTTCGTCTTCGCACTGGACGAGGAAGGCGTCAATTGCATCGGTGAATTTCTTGTTTCGCTTCTCGATCAAGCCTAGCATTTGCTTCTGGCTGTACACCGGCATCTTCAGATCCTCGTTCTTCATGCGCCGCACGGGCTTGGTTGGCTCCCCGGTCTGCGGATGCCTCACTTGTCTCTTCAGATCTCCGTCCAGCAGCTCGAAGAGGAGTGTCTTTTTTGTGGGCATTCCCCCATCGCCGAGTGTATCCCTTCCATAGCCTAGTTGTGTTGCTTCCCGGTCTCCAGTCGTCATGACCTCCAGCTTGGCCTCATCGACGTACTCGAAGCGCACTGCGCGTGGCACGAGGACTTTCACCCGCGCAACATCCTCCACGGTCAAATCCTGACCTTGCATTTGCGCCTGCACCGCATTCTTGATGTTGTCGAAAGTAGTAGCAAAGTGCTTTCGCGTGCAGCAGAAGGTGTACACGAGGTTCAGGGCGCGGTGTGTCCGGGAGAGGCTTTTGAATGCCTCCGGCCATGGGGCGGACGGAGTTCGCTTCGGTTGAGCGGGTTTGCGTTTTCCTTTGGAAGGTTTCTCTGCAGTTGAGCTGGCACTTGTGCTGTCTTCTGTCTCCGGCGTCTCTGCCGGTGACTTCGAAGGGGGCTTGCGACGTTGCCTTTTCTTTGGCGCTGGGTCCGTCGACGCGCTGTTGGATATGGAATCGGGATGCTCGGGAGCATCTTGCTTTGGCTCTGGCTCATCTTGGGCTCGTTTCCGGCCCGATAAGGTATCTGCATTGTCTGCTTGTGCTTTCGAACCGGCCATACTGACGCCACATTGTGGATGCGGTGGAAGCGCGTTCTGATAACAATATTCGAGGTGAAGCAGGTTTCGGATGCGCAGAAACGCGATGTCACGTGTGTTCAATATTACCTAAATGGGACGTCGGCCGATAGTCGTTCAGTTTGAGTACACAACAAGGCTAGTCGGACATGGTTAGTCAGGAATACTGGCCGAATGGCGCAATGGTAGCGCGTTTGTTTTCGGCACAAAAGGTTGCGCGTTCGAATCGCGTTTCGGTCGGATATACTTTTGCTTGCTGATTATTTTTGCTTTTGGTGGGATTATTCTCCGAAAGATAATCTTGCAATAGAAACGCCATTATTGATGTGGTCATTGTTAGTGTGTAACCGTTTTCGTGAGTATAAATAACTAAGATGCCACGACATCCGAGCGCATGGCCGGGTTTGCATAGGGACCAGGAATGGGCATCTGGACTGTCAGTATGCAATATGGTGACTAACTTAGTGTTTCTCTAATTAGAACCGCTGGTCAGACAGCGAACTACAGTTCCTCGTAAAGGAGCTCTGATCAAGTGTCAAGTGTCAGGTCGGCGAGTCTCTGTTTCAGTTCCAGTTGGGGAACGGTTCGCGCGCGCTAAGAATAACCCGTTTAGGGCTGTCAGGCGGCGATCATAAGAGGTGTTGTTATGCGGAATCCGGGGAAAAAAGGGTCCTGTTCTTGAGACCCTGAATGCTCATCATCACCTCCATCATCAGTATCCTACTCGTCCATCTCTATCCAGATATTGTCCGCTATTCCGGCCATCCCTCAAGATTTCATCCCACCCAACCACGACACTCCTTTGTCCCAAATATAGCATCCCAACAGCTTGTCTTCGTTTCCGCCCAAAATGTCGCTCTTGGCCAGGCGTGCCAAGGGTCTTTGCCTCCCTTGGCGTCTCAGTCTGACCCCCTGAAAAATTCCACCATTAATCCCATCATGGCTGCCTGGTCGTTTCTATCACTTCGGCTGCTTTTCCTGTCGGTCTGGTTGTACTCTCCAACATAGCTGGATGGTCCGCCGTCAGACTCCCATTTCACCATGCGCAGTCACCACTTAACCGCCTCTCTGCTGCTCCTGTTACACAGTCAACGGGCCTACTCCGATCTGGGTATACAAGTCAACGATGCCGGTATGCCATTACCCACATCCAATGCCCAGCTACATGTCCTCTAACCATCATGTCAATAGACTCCCTCGCAAACGCCGGCTCCACCATCGCCGACCCCTTGATGGTCTTCTACAAACAGAACCAAACCGAAGGCATCCCCGGCAAGCTCACCGACACCTGGTACATTGCGGGGGCCATGTTCATGACCCTGATCCAATTCTGGCAAGCCTCGGGGGTCGACACCTACAACTCCGTCGTGCAGCATGACCTGATGTTCCAAGCGGGAGAAAACTACGACTATTTCTCCTCCAACTACAGTCAATGGCTGGTACGACCCCCCACTCCCTCTTTCGATATCACCCAGTCCAATCCTAGCTAGCAGCTCGACTAACGATATATCGTTATCCACAGGGCAACGACGACCAAATGTTCTGGGGCCTCGCCGCCATTACCGCCTCCGAAACAGGCTTCCCCGAAGTCTCCGGCAAACCCTCATGGACGTCTCTCGCGCGCGCCGTCTTCAACATGCAAGTCAATCGCTGGGACGACACCGCCTGCGACGGCGGCATGCGCTGGCAGATCTGGCCCTACCAGGCCGGCTACACGATGAAGAACGCCATCTCGAACGGGGGGCTTTTCGAATTGTCTGCCCGACTCGCCCGATTCACCAAGAACGATACGTATGCTGAATGGGCGGAGAAGATCTTCGACTGGTCGGAGACAACACCACTGCTGAACACCAATGCCACGATCTGGAACGTGGCAGATAGTACATCCAACGAAGCCAACTGCAAGGACATTGGAAATAACCAGTGGACGTATAACTACGGGACGTATCTATCTGGTGCGGCGTTCATGTATAACTACGTGCGTTCACATCCCATCTCATCCCCCTTCTTCACAAACATCTCCCTAACAAAGAATAAATGGAACAGACAAACGGCTCCACCAAATGGGAACAACGAGTAAACAACCTCCTCACCTCCATCACGACCAAATTCTTCCCCCAAGACTACTCCAACGGCACCGTCCTCTCGGAAGTAACCTGCGAACCGATCCTATCCTGCGACCGCAACCAACTCGGCTTCAAGGGGTACGTGGCAATGTGGCTCGCATTCACGGCCCTCCTCGTCCCATCTACACACGACATCATCCTCCCCAAACTGCAAGGCTCCGCGGCAGCCATCTCGAAGCAGTGTTCGGGCACCGGCGACGGACTAGAAAATCTGTGCGGCGTGCGCTGGCACCAGGATACCTGGGACGGAAGCATGGGGCTGGAAGTGCAGATGAGTGCGTTGGGCGGGGTGACGGGGGCGTTGATGATGTTGGGGGATGGGAGTTCGGGACCGCAGACGATCGATGAGAATCCTGATGCGGCGGAACATCATATTGATACGAGTGAGGATGAGAAGGATCCGACGGCGAAGGAGAAGATTGAGACGGGGGATAGAGCTGGCGCGTGGATTTTGACGGTGCTGTTGGCGGGGTTGATGTTGGGTGCTGTGGGGTGGTTGGTTAAGGCGCAGTGATATCCCTACTCCTTTTTCTTGTCTTCTTATTCTTTATTTTTCGTGGGGATCATTAGGGTGTATCTGTTTATGGGATGGGTTCGTGTACATGGGTTATGGACATATTGTACTGCTTGCTTCGTTTGGCAATTGTTGATTATTTGGCGAGATACGTACCGCTTGCTTGCGGGACAGCCTTCTTCTATTCACATTAGTTATACCATCGCAGGTCGATAGCACATATTCATTTATCATTTGATAGCAAGATCTCGGAAATGTACCTGGTAGTCAGTGCTTTGAGTAGAATACACTGTATGTAGTTAGTGCTTGATAAATAAATAGGTGGATGGATGGATAGATAGATAGATATCAGATCGAGACACACTTATTAAAGATAGTACTTAGTAGCAGTAATATGAGCTATCATCCAACATGACACATCAGGTCGATACGTAACATAACTAGTATATCAAATGACTCGTACCTGCTGCTACACTGTACCAAATAGTGAGAATGATAGACAATGCATACACTCATGCATGTAAGCAGACATCCATCCATCCATCCCACCCTGATCAACTCTGCATGATTTCATCTGATCGCGATAAGATTAGCTTAGCTTCGTTTGAATGTCGATCATGGAAGTACATACTGAAAATCCTTTGTACCTGAACTCTGCAGGCTAACTAGATCAGTCTATACTGTGGGTCATCATACTTACTGTATCATTTCTACTAGTAATTAGTAACCTACTGTTTACCAGTGTTAAGTGTAAGCATCTGCAAACAGCATACAACTTAATATACTAGTAGTAGTAATAAATACCTCCTAAACCCAAGGAAAACATACACGAAGAGAATGGCTGTGTATACTTTAAAAAAAAGTGATAAATGAAATAAACAAAAGAAAGTAAAAAAGTAAAATAAATAGGTTGATGGTAATTCCCCAAGCCACGCGCAAGACACAACCCCGGTTTCTTGACTCCTCGGCCCAAATGCAAAATGCCAACCCATTTGGTTAATTTTTTTTTTTTCTTTCCTATGTAGATGGTGTAGTAGTTCCTAGATTCTAGTCCGTTGGTAGGGACTAGGACTGCTCTTGGTGATGGTGATAGTCATATTTAATTACTGGCGCTTTTTGAAGGTATCCAATAGACACGTTTGTGTGCTGCTGCTATTGCATGTTCATGCTCACTGGTATTCCTGGAGGTCGCGAACAACGCGGTATAATTCTTTGGCGAGGTCTTCGCTTCCGGTCTACGGGGATCGGTCAGCTTTGATTTAGCTGTTGTAGGTAACGATGGGTGACTTACTCTGAGCAAGATCGGAACAGAGCGGCCACTTTCCAAACTGGCTAGGTTGATCTGCTTCGACTTGGGCTCCTTGCCCTGTCCATCACCAACCGTCATTCCCTTGAAAATGGGCGTGTTCAGCATCACGCGCAGCACACCGTCTGCGCGCATGATCATGCGAGCTGCCTTCTTGTCCTCTACTCCGTCCGTGACACGGACGTTGACCTTGAAGGTCCCAATGCCACGTTCTCTCCACTCTTTGTTCGTGAAGTGGAAAAGCTTGGCTTTACATGAGAAGTATGTCTTCTCGTTCTCCTCGCCAGTCTCGACTGCGCTTCATTAGCTCGATCCAATGATTCGAGATTCGATAGACCACTTACTCGGACGTTCGAAAAATCTCTCGTCCGTCTTGTCTTGCTCGAACTCTCCCGGGCCGCTGTCACCGGCTTGTTCCTCATCTTCCTCCTTTTCTTCCTCGTCTTCGGGTGCCCCGAAAGCAGACGTCTTGGAGCCGCCCAGAACACTGGGAGCACTAGGGGAGGCAAAGCTCGTAAGTCCACCTGCGGGCTTGGCTGCCGCAAAGCCACCGCTGAACCCAGAGAAGCCAGACCCCAGCGCAGCAAATCCCGATGTGCCGGCTGCAGAAGCAAATCCAGTAGCAGCCGGCTGGGGAGAGTCCGTCGATGCCGGCGACTTGAAGACAGAGGGTGTGGAGCTTCCGAGGGAGCCAAAGGGCGATTGTTCCGAGCTGGCGAACGCGGCCAGACTTGACGCAGCAAAAGCAGTTGATGATGTGGCGGCAGCGGGCTTTGCTTCTTCTTCCTTGGCCTTCGCACCAATTGCCCCGAATGGTGAAACCGACGATGTATTCGCAAATGCACTGGTAATGGGAGCCTGCCAAGCACCGCAGCGTATCAGCTTCTATACTCAACATACCATAATACCATAGCACCTACCGATTCCTTCTCTCGCGCATCATCCGTATGTCTCTTCTTCTCGGGCTGTCCTTCGACTTCAGACTTTTCCGTCGAGGCCTCCTCCGCAGCATTCTGCTCCGCTTTCTCGCCCGAAGCACCGACTGTCGATTCATCCTTATCCAACTGATCCCTGCTTCTCTTCTTCTTCGGAACCGCAATATCCCGTGTCACTTCCTCTCCCTTCTGTAGCTGCGGGACTTCCACATCGACATCGGCATTTGCATTCTCCTCCTCGGAGTTCGAGTCGCGCGACCGCTTGCGACGGTGGCCTGCATCGTCTTCGTTCTTCTCCGGCTCATCTTCGTCGAATGATCGCTTCCTGCCCCTGCTGCTGGCCCTGCTGGAGCTTCCTTCCTGCGTATTGCCGGTCATGTTGGCGTCGCCGTCCGTCGAAGTCTTGGGTGCCGAAGTGATCGAGGTTTCTTGTAATTTGTGGCGGACGGGGCGCTCACCGCCGTCGTTGTCGGATGCTTGCGAGTCGTCTGCAGCTGTAAGGTAGAGTAGACCAATCAGCTATCACATACATATCCGTCAAAACCATAGATAACATACCTTGACGCTCCAGCACTTCCTTCTTCGTCTCGTCTACTGATCCCACTCGTCAGTACAATCATCCAGCCTAGAACCTTCTGCGACCGCAAACGAAGAAAAATTCAAATCAAGAGACAAAATAATATGTACCTTCCACCCCACCATTCCTCTGAGGATCCGCAGCCATCTTAATTTAAATCGGTCCAATAAACAACGCTTGCCAGTGATGATGTATCCGCGATATGACCGAAAGGAAGAATGTAGCAAGAAAATTGGGTGTGTGCTCACGCCGAGGACATGCGTTCTAGGCAAGCGATGGAAGCGAAACAACCGGGTCGAGTGTAGCCGATAAACGAACTCTGCAGGACAAGGTAAACAGAAGATGTTAGCCCTTTGGAATAAGTGCAAGCAGCTGCATAGGGATGCTAGCTCCATTGCGATAGTAGAAAGACAGGTCAGGTTGGTTGGTTGGCCGGCCTGCGGACGCAATGCGAGGTTGCAAGCTTGCAGGACCATGCGATGTGCTCAGAGGAGGGGAGGGGAGGGGAAGGGTGAGCCAGCAGATCTACCGGGGACAGTACGAACAGAGATAAATAGATATCGTACAAGTTTGACTGGAAGCAAGTCTGGTCGGACAAGCCCGCAGTGATAGATAACTAGCAGGCAATCAAGCAAGCAAGCAAAGCACTGAGGCTGAGGGGAACGTCAGAGAACGGACGGGGGCAGCGGAGGGACGGGCAGGACGAACTGCAGAGAGAGGTGGACAGAGGGAACAGTTAGGTATCTGTATCTTAGATCCTTCTGCCTCTTCTATTTCTTCGTTTTCGCAAAGGAAAAGAGGGGAATGGAAAGGTGAAGGCGGCGTTGGGGGAACCCACGAAGTCGGAGGAACAGACAGACGCAAGCGGGTGACGGAGTGCTTTGTTGTCTCGCTCGGGCGGACAAGCTCGGTTTGCTGGTCGCTCCGGTCACCGCTCGCTCTCCACCCCGCAGCTACTATCTATCTACTATAGGGATATTGGAACAGGGTTCTATTCGATCTGAACATACAAAACGCAAATGGGAAATCATCCGGAATTGATACAACACAGAAATCCACGCTGACTGACTAACTGACTGACTGACTCCTCCGTCTTCATCCTCATCTTCATCTTCTCCTTCAGCTTGTCTCAAACCACATCGTCCCACCGAGACATCCTCTCCTCATCCACCCTAACTGATAAAGCAGAGACACCCGATCGCAATATAAAACACAAACAGCGGGTATACCGCAATGCCGACCCGGTTGCGCAACACGCCCGATCCACCCAGGATACTCACGCCCGCCGCCAGCGACCACGCAATCAGGACAAGATACACCGGTATGCGCGCAATAGTCGGGAGGCCAAAGGCACTGAGCAGAGAGGCAATAACCAGAGGGAAGAGCGTGTATCCGATGATACAGACCGACTGGAAGAACGAGCTATCGAAGGAAGAGAAAGACATTAGCAATTGACCTCCATCCAACCACTTTTGGGAAAAAGAAGAACATACATATTCCCACCAAGCAACTTAATCTGCAACGTCACGACCGCCTCCCCAATCCACACGATGGAGAAAACGCCCGAGAACACCAGCGACGACTGCTCATCCTTGGCGCGCATGGACAAGAACATACTCAGTAGGAGGCAGAAGATCAAGGGACCCCTAGAACCATCACTCGTTAGCACACATTCCCTCCCCAAGTAAACAGAGAGTAAAAGAATCAACCCACCAAAGATCCCAATCCCTCAACCCCTCACTCATCCCACCCTGCAGCACAACATCGGCATCCGGCCAGCGTCCTACCATGTTCCTCAGCCCACCGCCAAAGCCCGTAGCCTCACCTCTCTCCGCGGCACCAATCCCACCCCCGCCGCGCTGCAACATGCCCCCAATGAGGTACTTAGGCCACAACACCTGGCGCATCTTCTCCCAGACGGCCCGCAAGTCGCGCGACAGCGTCTCCCATACCGTCTCGTCGATGGTGCTCTGTGTCGCGCGGCGGTCTTCGCCGCCAATCGTGGACGTCAGGTAATTGCTGGAGAAGTTGCTCCCGCCGCCGCGGGCGGAGCTCGAGGCTTCGGGTTGGATGTTTCCGCGGAGAGGGGCGGTGTCAGAGGTGTCGTGTAGGGGGTCGTCGGCTTCGATGGCTGAATTTTGAGACACATCATGTTAGTGAGGATGTATGTAGAGGTACATCGGGTATGGGGTGGATGGATCGGAGACAAAGGGAAGGTAGGTAGGTAGGTAGGTAGGTAGGTAGTGGTTCACTCACCATCATCAGCTTCAATCACGTCGTCGTCGAGGATCGATTCATCGTCGCGAATGTCCCCGTGGGTGTAGTGTGGTTGTACGCTGGCCATGGTGTTTGTACCTCTGGTTGGATTTGGGGTGTCGCGGAAGTAGTAGTTGTAGTTTAGTTGTGGTAGGTCACTGGGACATTGCCCGCTCCGGCTGACGTGGATTGCTTAGTGGATCGGATTGGGCTGAACAGACCGGCTGTACCCAGAGAACAGGATAGTAATCGCAAAGCGAGAAAGGGTACCAGAACGTAGCAATGCAGCAAGCTGGAACTCGAATTTGGGGAAAGCTGGGCTGGCACGAGGCAGAGCAGCCCGTGTCGGAGAGGCTAGAGTGGCATTCCTTACGTACGCAAGCACGGGCTGAATCCGGCAGGCGGAAGAGCCCATCTGAAACATCCATTAACTGGCGATCGACACATCTATAACTAAACAATGAAATTGTTTTGAAGGTATATATGCCAGAGATAGTTGAGTACTATGTTCATATTTCAAGTGTATTATACAATATGCCCTTCATCCCCCTCATCATGTGCTAGCTATGATACATCGACTTTTCTATAACGCCCGATTATGCTATACTTTGTACTGAATAGAGTGGAGACCATATTAGTTAGATCCACTTGGATGAAGCAGAAGGATCCGGATGGCCCTCGGCAGATAGATAGGACTGAATCAATGAGGTGGAACTCAGGCGCTTGGGACTTCTCGCTCGGCGAGTCTGTTCATCTGCTCCGCCGTTGCTCCAACCAGAGTGTTCCGGAACTTCGGGATAATGCTCTTGTCAGAGTATTTCTTCAGAAGCTCGGCGTGGCGCTGCACCTCCTTGAAGGTCTCCGGGGGTACATGTTGCTTGACTTCCTTGACCGAGTCGAATAACCTTCGTGTCATGGTAAGCGCCTTAAGGGCATCGTCTCCTCTGATCGCGGCCGACGGGTTGGTCTTGGCTATCCGGGCCAGGTAGGACTGTCGAGACTTTTCTCCCAACAGCTCACTGGACACGGCTTCATCGAGGTCCCGAATCAGGGGACAGAGTCGCTCTGCGGCAGAAGTGATTAGGCTGGCCTTCAGCTTCACTCCCAGCGCGCTGAGGTTGTTCGATTTAGCATCTGCCCCCGATTCAAGGCCAGCGAGGGACATCAGCAGATCCGGACTATCCTCCAGTGAATGGACCAAGTCGAGATATTGGGTGATTGACCGAGCATCGGGAAGCGCGGTGCCGTTGGCCATGAGATCCAGAAGCTCGTTGGCGTGTCTGAACACGTTGGGGTTTCTGCGGTCCCGAGTACATGAGGCCATGGATATGCGGAAGGTCTTTCCTTCTGTAGGTCCGGTGGGGTCTCGAGTCATGTTGCGTACTACCTCCACGGATTCACGACTAGCCCGCGCAGCACGGAGGATGCGTAGGTACGCGTGATAGCTAACCGCATCAGGTACGACCTTGGGCTCATCTCCTTGCGTAAGATACCGCCAGTATTCCTTTGCGGCAGCTGTACCTTGAGTTATCGACAGGCAGGCTTTGAGAAGCATAGTCAATTCCCTGTTTCCCACCTCAATATACCGCGGGAGAGTTGCTTCATCCCACATCGAGAGCCTCGTCTTCGCAGGCGGCTTCACCGTGCCAACAACGGGGTCAAAAAGGTGATCAAAATTCTCCTCGGCCTCCACATCCTCGATCTCCTCGGGTTCGGTATCGTGTAATCTGTCTCCCTCGTCGACGAAAGGGATATCGTCTTCCAAATCCGCATCATTGTGCGGAGAAGATACTCGCTTCTTTTCCGAAGTTGACTCTATCCTTTCCTTCGGGGGCTCTTCCGCGAAGATCGGAATACCGGCAGCTTGATTGTACAATGCGAACACGCACCAGACATCGTGGTCACAGCTTGAGTTCTCCTGCAACATGTGGGCCATGGCGTGAGCCAGATAGTTGTCCATGGGCACCTGGCCCTTCTTCCATTGATAAACGATGTCGGCCCAGACCCGTTTGGCTTCCTGGATACCCTGAGCTCTCCTTTGCAGAAGCGGCTCAACTTCAACCTGTTTTCTTTCCGCCGTCTTGATGTTTCCCTTATACAACTCCGATGTTGCGGCCCTCGTACTGCCTGCAACAGCCCCTAACAATGTGGTATAGGTCATTAGATCCGGAGCTAGTTTGCCGGACTCCGGCAGTGCACCAGCAACCTCCCATAGAACCTCCATATCTCGATGCCACCAGCAGACCTTGAGCATTGCATTGGCGTGAATGATATGGGGTTCGACGTGGGAACCCTCGGCGTAGAGCGACATGTAGATCTTAGAGGCCAACTTCACCGGCTTGAAGCCTCTGATATCGAAGTTCTGGCTGAGACCGTTCAGGAAGATAGTGTAAGACCTCGAGTTCAGTTCCATACCTCGCTTTTTCATCTGTTATAATTCAAAACAAGCATATGGTCAGCCACGGATAAATAACAACAATAAAGACCAAGAAGGGAGGAAGAAGAACATACATCATTCCAAGCTCTGAAGGCAAGCTCCGGCTCCTTCTCACGCATGAGATACTCCAGCAGCCGATTAAAAGCCGGAATGGCTTTGAAACGTTTTTGATGGGCCACTTGAATGAGCTTCAGACCAAGCGCCAGGTGTCCGTCTGCCAGACAACGCCGGACGCGCTCAGCCAGCGCATGTGGGTCACGCAACCATTTCAACTCTGCATTCAACACGGTGCGAGGAACGAGGTACCTCTGCGGCACCCATTCCCTCCGAACAAGCCGCCGCAGTAGCGTCCGTTTATCAAGCACTTCGTTTTCGTCTGTGGTGGAACTGGGCTCGAAGGACTTTCTCTTTCCATAAGAGTCTGCAGGCCGAGTCTTTTTTGCTTCATGTTCCTCTTCCTTTTCACGAGGCGCAGTCTCCTCCCGCGAGGAACTGGCGGGTGAGCCCTCCGCGGCCACAGCCTCGTGCATCCGCCTCGCGTGCAGGCTCCCAATCTGCGCAGAGTGTCTCCATGGTGTCCCTATACGAGATCCAGAGTTCGCGATGTGAAAGAAAGATCGACTCGGGGTAGTCCGGAGCCATTGTGTGCGGAGAAGTGGTTTCATTGCCACGCTTCCGGACCGGAGAGCGGTGGCATTGCCGCAACGAAGCATCTAAGGCGGGGAACGAAAGACACGCTGTTCGATTCGTAAAGTAAAATCTGTATGTCTTGATAGGAGAAATAGGCAAGGCAAAAGGTGTATTCCAACCTGTTTGCCACTAGATATCGTGGGAGCGTGAAGCGCGTAAACCGTAGGAAACTCGGAGGTCGGCGAAGAGAATTCTGGAGGGAGAGGCAACGGCGCGGTGAAACAGCCCTGAAAGGCAATATGTATAATGCAGATAAATTTCGAAAAGAGTCAATCCTTTCCCCAATAACGTAAACGAACAAAGAAAAGAAAGAGGAATGCGATAGAGGAAGCAAAGCACCAAAATCAGCCCCAAAGCGAGCGTCGACCTCCGAACAATCGCAAACTCCGCCGTATCGCATATCTGCCCACTAGAACCGATAAGGTTAGTGTACTATATCCCCTCAAACTAGTAAGTAACTCCGCTCCGGCCAAAGATCAGTAACCTGTGTCAGCCTCAGGCATCCATTTGCGCATAACCGCCGCAAGCCTCAGGCAACATGCAGGAACTAAAGTATGCACGCATCCATGACTAGACCCAACGCCTCTAGCTTAGCTAGCAACGTAGCTCAGAAGCTAGCTAGTCAGCCTAGATACCGACAGGATGGTCAGCCTTACACCGCTAGAAATTTTCAGATCCCTAGCGGCCTGAGCTTAGGCATCCCATGAAGGAGGGGGGAAGGGTAAGAGAAGAGGAGGAGGCTATTATGCAGCGGGCATCTAACCGGTCCCTGCCTTTGCCCCCAGTCGCCTTCCCCCCTCCCCCCATCCACCCTCCCCAATAACGGCCGCTAAGGCAGCCAGGAACCAACAACAAGGCTAGTAACCTAACCTAAAGCTGGTCTGGGGTTCAGGTACAGCCTAGTACTTAGCCTCCCAGAAGGGTTACAGGTACCAGGTACTATACTGGTACTCACTAGTAACCTTGCCGGGGAAGCCCGCGACTAGTTCAACCAGAACCAAAGTTATCCTCTCTCTCTCTCAGGTAAGAGGAGGGTATGTAAATTATTCGGATCTCGCCTAAGGCCTAGAATAGATAGCTCCAACTTTACTTTCTACTTTACCCTCCTCCCCGTGGTATGTAATGTTTTTGATAACTTTAATCTCAACCGAAGTATGCGTCGAAGGTTCCATGCCCTGCTGATCCATCACCGCAGGTTGATAGTTTAGAGCGAGTAATGTATCGACGGACATACTACTGATTGAATCTCACCGACATTGCATGATTTCTAAAAGCCCTCCACGCAGACTTTGTTAGTCCCTTTCTGCGGCAATAGTCATTCCACTAGTCGGCTTATTGCCACCGTGCGGGATGCACGCTCGTCGATTAGAGTTATACGGATTGCTATTCATCCCAGAAAGATCTACCACATGCGAGTCAATATACAGAAAGAGGCCCCCGAAGCCCTCTGCAGAGTCAGAACCGCTAATGCACGATCTGCATTGCAGATTGTCCGGCCGTCGAAGCAATGCCCACGTTTCCCGGGAATTACAAGAATAGTTTCCTCCATCATGCAGGGGCATGGAGCTATGCGCCCTTCTTCTCCGTCCACGCCGGCACCTTGCGGTACCCCCGATTCGGTCGAATTGCAGGCGTAGTTGCATACAACAAAGTATCCACAGAACAGTCGAACCATTGTCATTTCACTCGAAGTAATTTACCCACTATCTTCCCACCTGCAGCCACGAGACCGGCGGCGTTCGCCTTCCAATCAACCTCGCAGCCTCCCAGGTGATCCACTCGAAGATAGAGGGCGGGAGAAAGGAAAATAACCATGTGCATCAGAATCCGAAGACTTCCGCCACCAGACTACAGACCCGGATCGGTCTGCAGAGCAAAAGAACATGGACAAGAATATTGCACAATTTCGGGGACCAAAAACCCAGGGTAACATAATTTGGTCGGAACACATCAGCAAAAGTGGAAAAGGACGCGGACACAGTGAATAGGAATCACGAAAGAGAAAGATCACAAGAATCATAGCAGTAAGCCACATACAACACAGGGGAACGTTTAGTAAAAACAGTTGCCGCATAATTCACAGGAAATGGTAGAAAAGCTAGTTAATTTAATGACGGTCCCGCCAGATATCCCAAGTCGTAATCCCTTGGCCGGGAATGGCGTAGGGAAGAAAGAAAAAGAAAAGACAACAACCCCCCTCGATTATCCTTTTTTCCCCATGCGATCTAATTCAAAAAAACATAACTGGGACAAAGTGTAAGTCGCAAGGCCACTCTTTTGACTGGAGCAATCAAGGCCAAAAATTGGTATCATGTGCGCAGGAACTTAGAGAATTAGATCCGGGGATGGCGATACGGGATTAGGAGATATTGTATTAGAACATGCAACCTGAAAGAAGTAAGGGAAGCTGGGCATCTATTGCGGGTAGCTGGTCGATTGGTTTTCTGCGAAGCCGTCATCGATCAGCTACAGACCTTATAGCAATAGATCCAAAGACCTCCTTCTCAACCTTTCTTGAGCTCTTGCAGCCGGGTATGGTGGTCGTGTGTCCCTTTTTGTTTCTTCTTTTCTTTCTTTTGTGTGGGGGTGGTTTCTTTCATGTCGCGTGCGAGACTTGCTCATGACCCGGTGCCGAGAAGGCAAACATAACAAAGGACTGACTACTTACGTGGCTGGTACACTTGACCGGTCTGTCCATAAGGGGAATGAGGGTAGTTTGGCGGGTATGCCATCTGCCCATTGCCCTGATACACCATACCTCCGGCTCCAGCTCCGTACTGCCCCGGTACCTGACCGTCGGCAGGTTGATATCCAATGGGAGGTAATTGAGGACGAACACCACCAGGGTAGGCAGGTGGTTGTCCAGCCTGGGCGGGATCCGCCGGGTTGGGTGCGTCGACCTGGTTGGCCTGGGCAGCTTGAGCAGCGGCAGCACGCTCGCGCTCCTCAGCAGCCTTGCGCTGGGCCTCTTCCTCCTTCTTCCGAGCCTTCCACTCTTTGCGGATCTCCTTGAACTCTGTACATTGGATCAGTTAGCATGATGAGAGGCAACATATAGGCAGTAGAAAGGAATATGTGTTGGGAAGGGGGCAGTGTGGGTGTTTGAGAGTCATGGTGGGGATGGGACAGGAAGCAGCACGAGCCGATGGTCGGAACAAGTCAGGAGCGATAGACAGGAGCTACTGAGTCGTCGAAGACGCTTAACCTCCGCACCGACTTGTCACGCTACTGCGATCCGCGGCGCTAAGGTAGTGTAACACGACTAGCGCGTGCCACCCGCACTAGCCCCATCCAGAGTTTCGCGACCAACAAAAACAACAGATGCGAGCTGGCGGACCAACTTGCAAAAACACGCAAATGAACGACCAACAAACTCACCTTCGGGAGTGCGCTTGGCGCCATGGGACTGCATCGTGACGTGGGCGTTCAGATGGTTCAGCGTACCATACGCCTTCTCACATCCGTTCCACCCACACTTGTACATCCGCTCGATCTCCTCATACCGACGACGGGGCCGCTTGTGCTGCTGCGCGCCAGGGATGGGAACAAAGGAGTATACCTAGAGAAAGCATTGTGGATGAGCCTGGGATCTTTTTATGCCAAAAACAGATGAAAAAGCGCGCCGCTTCCCACGTCCCGCGAGGCAGCCTTCGTAGCTAGCAAGCCCCCTGACCTCCACCTCGCGGGACGTCCAAGACAACAAACCAACGCAAGTGCGCAGCCCTTGGAAACAGACGCCAAAATCATCAAAAACATACCTGGCCAGGGCGCGGCCCTGCGGTCGCAGCAGGGGAGGCGGGACCAACCGTTGTGGCAGGAGTGGTATAAGGTCCAGGCAGACCGTGTTGATGTTGTCCATACCCATGCGACCATTCCGGACGCGTATACATCTGAGGCGGCGGCGGGGGATGCCCCTGGTATTGTGCCATATCGTGACCCTGGGGCTGGTAGGGAGAGTAGGGAGGAGGATAGGTGGGGCTGGATGCCGCGATTGAGGGATCTATAGGAACGGCCGCGTCAGACTTCAGGTTCGTGTGATTGCGATGGTCATGGTGCTGCCCATCACTGAGGGTGTGCATGGACGGACTTGTTGCTTGAGCCATACCTGCCGCTCCACCGGCTTGGGTGTTGGGCGCGTGGTGGTATTGAGGCGGGCGGCCGATGTACTCGTGGTAAGCAGGAGAGCGCGCGGCGGGCGGCTGATTCAGACCGTAGTCTGACTGCGGCGTGTTGGAGGACGAAATATTGGCGGCGGGGCGGACCTCGGGTTGAGGAGTGTACTGAGGAGTAGGGCGGACCTCAGTCTGAGGGGTGTATTGAGCAGTGGCAGCAGCAGAAGCCTGGTCTGCAACTGGGAGTTCAGAATGGGTCGCAGCAGACGGTGGATATGGATAATGCGAACCTGACTGCGCGTACTCCGAGGCAGGTCTGTTGTCCATATAATACAATTTTCGCCGCGAACGGGGGGGTTTGAGAGATCCCTGACAATCCTCCAAAAAGAAAAGAAAGAAAACTAAACACGCGAGCCTATACAGACGCGTCGAGAGAACACAATGAGCTTGGTGATTTTCACAAGAAAGGAATGAAAAAAGAGATGTTGTAGTGATGGAATGGGAGGGGAGAAGGAAGAATTGCTTTCTAACAGCAGAGAAGATCAGGATGGGGGTGGTTAGATCCTCGTTCTTCTTTTCCTTCTTTTCTTTTTTCTTTTCTCTTCCCTCCCTCTTCTCTTTTTCTTTTTTTCTTTTTTTCTCTCTTGTTGGAACGTACTATTTAGTGAATTCAGGATAGAAGACCGAAGTGATTAATGGAAGTTTCCACACCAGGTCCTGCACGTCCTGAAATGGGCGCGTTGTGTTGTAAGGAAGACGGAAAGTGAAGTGGAACAGAAAAGAAAGAACCAACGCGTGATCTGGCGCGTATGGATTTCTGGACTCTCTTTTTTTTTCAATACACTGACAAAGTGTGAAAGAGA